CCCTAGAAGATCACTAAGTGTTAGAAACGCCCTGGTTGACAGAGAGAGAAAGCGACAAAGAGTCACAGAAAACAAACTTGGGGCAGTGGGAAAGACAAATCCAGATTCAATTGTACACCAGCTTTAAGAGATACCAACTTCTGCGCTGCAGATGAAAGAACAGTCTTCGGATAGATAGTCAATGTGGGGAGACCAGGACCCTGGCAGGAAGAGGGCATCATCTCCTCCCCTGCCTCACATACTACTTCAGAAGCTCTGATGTCAATCATCTTACAACAGTATGCATATGTATATTCATAATCTGTCTCGAGACTATGGAAATTCAAAAGGAGAAGTTATGTCTTAATTGCATTTATATTCTCTAGGCCCAGCTGATTGCCTAGAACGTAAAAACTACTGAATATGTATTTAAAAAATAAATATATTGAAATTAACTTTATCCAAATTTTGGTGAAGTAAATCAAGAACATATGAATTCATTAGATGCAAGTACAGAGGTGGCCAGGAAATAAAAAGTTGAACCTTAGTAAATCTCTAGTTGGAAAGATAATAGGAATGTAGCTGAGAAAAATAATTAAAGAACCCAAAGACACAAAATACATTATCATGTGGCCATTTCTCAATAAAATAATGTATTTTATTTATATTGAATAAATATGTCCTACAGACATTAGATTATTTCAAGCTCTTATCTTTAATATGTTTAAAAGAAAAGCAAATCATGACTATATATTTGTATGAATATATATGTATACACACACACATATATATATATACAGACCCTGTTTCCCCTAAAGTAAGACATCCCTGAAAATAAGACCTACTTACAGTTTTGCCTCTCATTGAAATATAAGGCATCCTCCTGAAACTAAGACCTCCCCGAAAATATTGCCTCTTGAAGGTACCATAACTCTGCACTGTAGTGGAAGGCGCAGCCACGCAGCTCACTGTTGGCCGCAGCCGACAGGAAGTACGAAGTCTCCTTTAATAAAACAATAAGCAATACATGTGTACCGTATTCTTCATGGAAAATAGGACATCCCCTGAAAATAAGACCTAGCGCATCTTTGGGAGCAAAAATTAATATAAGACACTGTCTTATTTTCAGGGAAACAGGGCATATATATAAAAGTTAAAAACTAATTAAGGGTAAAATACATAAAGAAAATTTTACATAACATTGGAGTTCTGGGAGCCATGAAAGCAATACGAGTTGGAGTGAAAAAATGAAAACAAAGCAAAACTATGAAACAAGATGCTTTGGGAAATGTTGAAATTTTGGAAGCAGTATATGCTAAGAGGAACGATCCTTCAGAAATTGTAAATTAATGTCGTACAGAAGAAACAGTGACAATTAAACATACATAAGGGTAGGATAAGTTAACTGTGAAAATTTAACAAAATCAAAACCCATTGCAAATATTTGGGCATGACTATTAGGAGAATTGTGTACTTAAAATTTAGATTTATTAGTTTTGTTCTAAATCATGTAATTTATAGGCTTTTGTAAGTTGTTGCTGTTGATTGCTTTCAAATCAGTTCTGATTCATAGAAGCCTTATGTACAGCAGAAGAAAACATGGTCAGGTCCTGCCACATTCTCCGAATTCTTATTATGCTTGAGCCCTTTGTTGAAGCCAAGCATCTATCTGTCTCACCGAGGGTGTTTTTCTTTTCCAAAGGCCATCTATTTTGGCAAGCATGACGTCATTTTCCAAGAACTGGTCTCTCCTGATAACTTGGCATTTTTATAAAAACCAATAAAATGTGTCTTTTTAAAAAATTTCTCTTTTTTTTACCCTAACCCTAAAACTGTATCTTTAAAACTAAAACTCATAGTTATCTTGGGCTTATTCCAAATTTCACCCGAAAACATTTATAGTGGTTAGATTTTTCTAGTTGTATTTTTTTTCCCCTTTAGAGCTGTACTGTTTTTAATTTCTCATAGTCTTCTGGATACTAAAACAAACAAACAAACAAAACCCCTGATGTTCAACAATGTAGACATTTTGAAGTTAGAGGGATCTAAATCATATGTGCTATATATTGGCAAAGGACATTTTGCCTGATAGATCTAAAAATAAAAACGAGAGACCAACAACAGAAAGAAAAATGAACGTTCATCAATAAACATGGTGGGGAGATAACATTAAGACCAGGATAGACTACCGCTCTTACTTTCTTGCACACATTAGCTGTGTTGCTCATTCCCAGGTCAAGAAAGAAAGCATGCTTAAACGAAAAGAAGTACTAATAATTACTGAGAATATATATTAAAGCAACAAGAATGGTTTAAAAGGACGTAATAGAGCAAATAAATATTTATAATTGACAAGAACATTGATATCATTTAATTAAATATATAGCTCCTTCTGGAAACGACTATTGTCTTCTTTCTACCTCCATTTGAGTTATCACAGGACCGTGGGGACAATAAAGCCAGTTTATTTTTTTTCCCCAGTCAATTTCAATATTACATTTTGAGCAAGAAAGGAAATGGCACTCTGGGAGCCTGTATAAAAGGTAACAAAAACTACTTTCAACTGTATAAACAAGTAAGAAAATGAGCTTGATTCAGATAGAAATTAAGTGAAATATGCTTCTCTCACTATTCTGTCTGCTCCTCTAGCTTTCTCTCTTATTTATTTTTAACTGTTTGCACTCATTAATTAAAAGCCTGACCTCATACTGCCTTTCAGCTGAATGAAATGCTAATGCGCTCCAAGTATGGTTAACTGACTCCCCAAATGCTCTTTGTTCTCATTTATTTTTCCTTTATCGAGCTGTGTTTGACAATATCTGAGAGTATATTAAGAAATTTAAAACAAATTCAATAATTTCCTTCACTTTCTTACTGCTGCTTTTGGACTAGAAATTGATAGAATGATACTTTCCACTTACTGTGCTGTAGATATTGTTGAATATTGGATATTTCAATGCTAGCTATGTCATGTGCAGTATATATAATTTATTAATGATTTTTGTCTAATATTTAGCTACTCATCTGTTATATGTCCACACAAGAATTTTTTAAGAAGAGGTAGGCATAAAAGATAAAATGAATATCCTTACTGAGGCTTATGATTGGGGTTTCTAGCTGAGAGGCATAATAAACAAATTGTTAATAGTCATGTTTGCATTCTATATAGAGTCTCAACCCATAATATGCAGCAACCAATCCAGGAAGGAAACCCAAAAACTACAGCAATCAACCTTGAATGGCAAGAAACTTAAAAACAACACCAGTTAATTTTTATCCCCACTGCTACCAATTTAGGACTAATCAGGGAAATGTAATATTCCTGCGAACCAGCAATATAGAATGCTGAACTTCCAGCTTCCCTGTGTTAACAATCTCCAATCAGGACCTGAGGACTTCCCATTTTTCATAATAAAGCTTTTTGCAACTCCACATGACAATCATATAAGGTATAAAAATACAACAAAGCTAATAAAAAGATATCCTAATATTTAATCTTGACTGAATGAAAAATATTAATGACACAAACATTAGAATTACCTTATGGTCCAGGAGGATGATTTATAATGTCTTCTATCATAAAATGATGATGAGCTCTCTAACATGAACCAGAGGCATACATGAATGGATTTGGGACTCACACTTAATTCTAGATCCAATTCAAGAACAGCTTGTTCTTATGATGCAGCCCTGCTCAATGCTCACTCTCATGAAGCGGTCACTGAGGCTCTGAGGGCTGTAGCACAGCATGGCAAACAAAGTACATGGTGCCTGGAGATCAGAAGGAAGCGGGTCTAGTGTCTTAAAGGCTTGTTTTAAAACCAGCAATTACCTAAGTGAGGGGTCATCTAAGTATACAGAGAAAACATACACTGTGTGGTACACTAAGTGGTAACATCCAAATCCAAAGGAGAGGAAGATATGAGAGATTTAATGGTGACCCTCTAGCTTGAAGAAGTCTATGAATGTCTGTAAAAGCTGAAATCTCTTTGTAGGGTCTCTATATGGATTATAGGCCATGGTGAATCACTTCTGACAATGGTGGAGGGATGTGACTAGCCTTGCTATCAGACATAAAGCCCTGTCAAATTGATTATGGTTAAAATTAAATACTGTATTATTTAATCTACCTTTTAACACATTTTAAAGTTCTCTCATATAAAATAAAAGTTTTAAATGTGAAGGGGAAATACATGCGGCTTAAGCCTCTGGTGAATCCCCTTTGGCCAGAGATGTGAATAGCCTTGCTAGGCCCTAGAGTGCAATGGAAATTGAATTGTTGCAGAACCAGTTAGGTTAAAATCTAACATATTGTTATTTAAGCTCCCTTTTGATCCATTTTAAATTTTTTCTGGTTTTTAATTGATATTTTTATTGAGGTTGCATTGTGGTTTATTTTGTTACTGGTGTTTGTTTTTCCGTTTCTTTATTTGTTTTCATGTGTGCTTTCCAGTATTTGAAAACCAGATTGGTAAATCTATAGAGCCAGTAACTGTATTAAAATCTTATTTGGGATTTGGGAGCTTGGAGGGAGGCTGGAGAGAAATGGGGAACTTATGACAATGCATACAAGAAGGAAGAAAATGCTCTAGAGTTGATTATAGTGATGCTTGTACAACTCTTTTAAATATGACTGAATTAGTGAAGGGTATGATATAGGTCAATACAACTACTAAAAATAAACATAAAAATAAAAACAAAATATCACCCACCACTCTCAGAAGTTCCCTGGGGAATGGAAATAAAGAATACTGACTTCTCCAAAAGATAATCCCCCATTACCCTAAACAAGACAAAAACAACACCACAAAAACATATTCATGCCCATTGAGTTGATTTAGACTCCTAGTGACCCTAATGCCAGGGTAGAACTACCCCGTGGGCTGATGAGGCTGTCCATTTGAACAATCGGTAGGTTTGACCTACCGATCATGAGGTTAGCATCTCCTGCATGTAACCCCCTCACCATAGAAGTGGTTTGTTTATCTTAGGACATTAAAATACGATCTAAAAATTAGGAGGAGGTTCAGTGATGAGCCACTATCATGAGTGGTGAACACAGCGCTGCAAACATTCCTTGCTGCCTTCCTTCTGAGAACAGCCCTAGGGGAAGGAATCAGAGTTCCGAGGTTGGGGGGATGAGCAGACATGCACAGCAAATGGAATTATTTCAGGGTGTGATGTCCTGCCTTTAGGAACATTAAAATCATAAGTGCTAATGCATGTGCCCAACTTTTGGATTAAAGTCTACTTGCCCAGGTCTTTCTATTGGCCCAGATTGTAGCATGTACCATGGCTGGGAGCCAGGGTAATATGCTGCGGGTATCTAATAACAGCATTTTTACCTTATATAGACAGATGATAAATAGATAGATGATTGATAGATAGATAGATAGATAGATAGATAGATAGATAGATAGATAGATAGATAGATAGATACGTAAGTAAATAACTAAATATTAGGGTTTGCTGTTGTTAACTATGAGACAGGCATGTCGGAGAAAAAAGATTGTCTAATGACGGTATTGATAATTTCAAATGAGTGGTTAAAGCCAAAGGAATCTATGAAGTGAGGAATTAAAAAGCATTTCGTTTACAACTTTAAAGAACTTGTAGAATGTTTTTGCTCAGAGGAATAGAGTTAGAAAGAACACCATCAACTCGATGACAATAGGGAAAAGTTGGAAAACGAACACATTCTCCTGAGCCCTGAACTGAAGTTAGAACAGCAAAATAATATAACACCCAGGGATCGATAGTTCCAAGCGTTTGTTTACCGAGAGCGATCTTAAGTTTGCCTGAAGTCTCATACTCTGACAAGAAGGAATGGTTAAATAACCCCTCCATCTTTAGTTTTAAAAAATGGCTTGCTTCATAGAACTTGCTTTTCATATTGCTGGAAGCCCCTTGCTTACCTATGGTAAGATGAGATGCTAACCTTCCAGATTCTAATTCTCAGGCATCTTAGTGAGTATTTACTAAGTTTGCTAAGTTTCTCTCTTCCCCACAATGCTACCAACTTTGACTCACATTTGGCCTCAGTGTGTTGAATGTTGTCTGTAATTATCTCAAACCTTATAGGATCTAAATATTACTATGCTTTTAAAACACAAGGAGACTTAAAATGTTCATGGAAAAAATGGAGTTAAAGATAATGGAAACTTTCTCACAACTGTTTTGAAGGCCCTCTGTACATATACATAAATATTCATAACATTATCAATGAAATAGATATATCTGTTAACATTTGTGAGGTTCTCTAATATAAGCTACGTCTTTTTATACCTATAAGTCATACAATAAAGTCATTAGGATAATTCCTGAATTTAGAGATTAAAAACTTGTTAAGTATGAAAGGGATGTAAGCACCCTTTAAATGCACTTTGACCTGTCATGATGTGGCTTCAAAAAACGTAGCATTATAACGACACAATCTCCCTAATCTTAAACCGTTGAGAGAGGATGTTTCATTCAGTGGCTCTCTAACTTTGGGGAAAAGATGCCATACGATTCTCTCACCTTGCACTGGTCTTTGTCCTGTGGAGCCAAAGTGCAAATTTACACATAGACCCTATATCCCTACTCAATCTTGAAGACAGTGGTTCTCAACCTTCCTAATGCTGCAACCCGTTAATATAGTTCCTCATTTTGTGGTGACCCCCCAACTACAAAATTATTTTCATTACTCAGGCATCTAAGACCCAGAATAAAACCGTACCCAAGGTGAATGGGGTAGGGGGGGCATGGAGTGTAGACCCAATGCCCATCTGTAGACAATTGGACATCCCCTCACAGAGGGGTCACAGGGAAGAGATGAACCAGTCAGGGTGCAGTATAGCACCAATGAAACACACAACTTTCTTCTAGTTCTTTGGTGCTTCCTTCCCCCCACTATCATGACCTCAAATTCTACCTTACAAATTGGATTAGACCAGAGCATGGCACACTAATCCAGGATAGATAAACCCCTCAGGGCCAACAAGGAGAGTAGAGATACCAGGAGGATTAGGGGAGGGTGGTGGGGAGGAAGGGAGAATCGATCACAAGGATCAACCTAGAACCCCCTCACACGGGGACGAATAACGGGAAAGTGGGTGAGGGACGATAGAGGACGACGTAAGATATGGAAAAATTAATCTATAACTTATCAAGGGTTCGTGAGGGAGTGCGGGGGAGGGAGGGGGAAGAAATGGGGAGCTGATATCAGGAGCTCAAGCGGTAAGAGAATGCTTTGAAAATGATGATGGCGGCATATGTGCAAATGTGCTTGACACTTGGAGGAATGTATGGATGGTGATAAGAGATGTAAGAGCTCCCAATAAGTGTTTTTTTAAAATTATTTTCGTTGCTGTAATAACTGTACTTTCATAACTGTAATTTTGCTACTCTTATGAATCGGGCGACCCCTGTGCCATTCGACCCCCATCCCCACAAGGGGTCGTGACCCACAGGTTGAGAACCGCTGCTTTAAGAGCCGTGAGAAAAGATCTGGATACTCTGCCGTCGCTTTCACTGTAGGGATTCGACTGCTGTCAGCTGATGGTTATTGCTTCCTTCAGGTAAAGACCGAAAGTCTAAAGCTTGGGACTCTTAATGACTAAACGAATATTTTAATTATGAATGCTGTCTTCGATTCTAAATGACTGTTGGAATTTGTTGTTTGCATGCTTTGCCATCAGTTTTAAGTATCTTGCTGTAAGTTCTGGGTATCTTCAGGGTCACTCCTGACATATAACAACCATGTGTACAACAAACAGTGAGCGCCCTTATTGTAATCACTGTGTCAACACATCTCCTTGAAGACCTGCCCTTTCTTTGCTGACTCTCTCTACCTGTCAGGTATGGGGTCTTTCTCCAGGGACTGAGAAGGGGAACATGTGTAAACATCCTGGCTGTGCTTCTTTTAAGACAGATTTGATCTTAAAAGCATGTTCAGTATTCTTCATCAATACCACAATTCAAAGACAATAATTGTTCTTTGCCCTTTGTGTTGTCAAGGTTTCCTACACGTATGAAGTGACTGATAATACCATGTCTTTGATCAGGTACCATTGCTTCCTCAAAGTAAAAGCTTTGGTTTGTAACACTTTAAAGAGGTCTTTTGCAGCAGATTTCAATGCAATATTCATTGAATTTCTTGACAGTTGCTACCATGGGCGTAGATTCTGGATCCATAAAAAAAGGAAATCCTTTTTGCTTATACTTACTCAGTAAACAAATGAACAAACATGGAGAAAAGTTAAAGTATAGAGGACCAAGTGTGTATATAAAAGGAAGGGAAAGAGAAATACACACAACTGAGTGTAAGAGTGAGATTATAAATTTTGATTTTCTTTTTCACTTCTTAGGGACTTTATGAAATATTTTATTACAAGTATGTCATTGATGCGTTCCATTACATTGGTTACCTAGGCAGGGCAGAACAAAATAGTGGCTGGTCCTGCACCATCCTGATAAGTGTTGTTATGTTTAAGCAACTTGTTGCAGCTACTTTGCCAATCAATCTTGTCAAGGATCTTCTTGATTCTCTACCAAGCTGTCCTTCTCCAGGGACCAACCTCTCCTGATAACATGACCAATGTATATCTGAGGGAAAGTTTCACCATCCTCACTGCTAAGGAGCATTCTGCCTATTGGCCTACCGGTAGATTTCTTTGTCCTTTGGGCAGTTCATTGGTTCTTTTAACATTGTTTACACATACCACAATTCTATCTTCCTCATTACTTATCCAGTTTTCACACTCACATGAAGCAATTGAAAATATGGTGGAATGGGTCAGGAACATTTTAGTCCGCAAAGTGAAATTTTTGCTCTTTATTACTTTAAGGATGTCTTGTTCAATAGAATTGACCAATGCAAATCAGTTTCTTGACTCCTGCTTTCACAAGAGGTGACTCTGGAGCAGTTAAATTAAATCCTTGACACCTTAAATCTTTTTTCTGTTTACCATAATGTTGTCTATCAGTCCAGTTGTGAATATTTTGCTCTTGCATGTATTACCTTTATTGTGTTAACAAATTTCCCTTCTATACTTAGCTTGCTGAGTGTTTTTATCAGGCGTGAGTGTGGTTCTTATTGTCAAGTGGCATTGCGTTGGTCCCAACCCATAATGACCCTATGCACAACAGAACAAAACACTGCCTGGTCCTGTGATATCCTCACAAATTTTCCTATATTTGAAACCATTGTTGTCGTCACTGTACCGATTCATCTTGTTGAGAGCCTTCCTCTTTTTTGCTATCCCTCTGTTTTACCAAGCATGATGTCCTTCTCCAAGGACTGGTCTTTCCTGGCAACATGTCCAACATGTCCTTGCCTCTCAGGAGTCCTCAGGCCTTACTTTTTCCAAAATAGATTTGTTTGTCCATGGAAATTTCAAAATTCTTCAACAGTATCACAATTCAAACACATAGATTCTTCTTTTGCCATCCGTATTTAATGTCCAACTCTCACATGCACATGAAACAATTGAAAATACCATGATTTGGGGCAGGCACACCTTAGTCCTCAAAGTAACATCCTTACTTTACAGTACACTAAAGTGGTCCCGTGCGGCAATTTTCCCAATGCAACTCGTCTTTTGATCTCTTGACTGCTTATTCCATGAGCATTGATTGTGGATCCAAGTATGGTGAACTCTTTGACAACGTCAATCTCTTTTCCATTTATCACGATACTACCTATTAGTCAAGTTGTGAGGATTTTGATCTTCTTTCATTGAATTGTAATCCACACTGATTTTTTTTACAGAGTTTTTTCAAAGTTCGTTAACTTCTCCTTTTCTGAAAATATCTTTATATCTCTCTTGTATTTGAGGGACAATTTTGGTGCATATAAGATTTTGGTTTGAAATTTTTTCAGGGTTTAATATGTAATATTAAATTACATAATATTATGATATTCTTTATGTTGTTGAAAATTAATTTTCAATTAATACATCAATTTTGCAAAATTCTTTCATGTGAACTCTAGTATGATTTCTATCACCAAGACCCTGTATTTCCAACTTTCACATTTTAGTCACCAGTAATTATCAGTGCACCTTGATTATATTTTAAAAATAAATTTCAGGCTTAATAAGTTGATTTAAAAATCCTCCAT